GCGCACCCCTGCTCCCACTATCCTTTTTTTTTTTGTTTTTTTGTTTTTTGTTTTAGAGAACAATCCCTGCAATGCTAGCGACGCTGATAAGAGCGGACACCGCGAGCACCTGGGGACAGGCTCCATCTATTGGTGGGGAGCAGCACCTGCTGGAAAACGGGTCCAGCGTCCCTTCTGGATATGATACAATCGAGAGTTGTCCACACCAATGTAAGACAAATCCTGCCAGCATTGATTGCCCTGAGGAGCAGGGGATTAACTGTGTAGGGAAGGATCCTCTTCACCATAAATGCGCGCCAAATCCTAACGATTGCATACTAGCTCTCTCCCTTGCCTTCTCAAAACTCTCATTGCCCCGAGTCTACATTCCCCTACCCCAGGTCCCCTTACCCTTTCATCCATCCCTCCTCACCCCCCGTACCACTGCAAGTCCACTATGCTATTTCTTGGGGGTGGGGGAAAGGTCGGGGAAGTTCTCCCCTGACTTCATCGGGATCGAGGAGTCCACCTTAGTCCATTCGTGAAAAATCAGTCGATGATTTTTCCCCCACCTGCCGTTATCTTGGTCCCTCCCTGTATTCCATTCCACCCTTCCTAACCTTCCCCCTTCTTTCCCCCCGAGCCATTTCTCAGAGAAATCCTGTAGTTTATGCTCTGCTTCTTGTCTTGTGTATGTGTGTTGGATCTGTGTTTTTGTTTCCTCACAGTGCACTGTTATCTCTGTTTGGATGTACTGTTGTATGGCTTCAGTGAACTCGGGTCCCTCCAACCTTACGCTTTCCATTTCGTAAGTGCATCGTCGTCGCCACAGAGCCCATAACATCGCCCTGCGTCCCAGCGTGAAAATATTCAGTGTGAAATCGTCCACCTGGTCTATGCTCCATGTTTCTAATAACAGTGCTTGCCAGCTCCATGGCCAGGGCCTTGTTACTTCCAACTGGCCCCAGACCCGATCCCATCAGCGCCAGAGGAAGACCACAGCTGGGCATTGCATGAAGACATGCTCGATGGTTTCGGGTCGTTTCCTGATTGGGAAGGAATGTAGGCAGAGGTTGCACCATGGGAGCGCCCGCCCAGTTTGTTCTAGGGAGGTCCTATCTATGAGCCAATCGTTTGTTGGAAGGCAGCGGTGCGGAATCTGCCAGTGGAGGGAGGCAAATTTGGCTGGTCGCGTTGAGATGAGCCGGAACCATTTAACCCCCCTCAGTGATTCCTTACTTGTATTCAACTGCGTCATCCATCTGGCCTCCACTAGGTCACGCAGAGTGGATGTTGGATGGAGAAGCCTGTATGTTGAGTGGACCGTGATACTGTTCAGTTTTCTGGTACATGGCTTACCCCTTCCCGCGGAGGAGGTCCACGTCCACTCTATAGGGTCGAAAGGTAATTCAGTGATCGGAGTGCCGAGGAGAAAGACTGTCCATTTTTCTTCCTTGTTAAAAACTCTAATCCGTGACAGTTCCTCTGGCTGGAAAAATCTTGTTTCTTGCGCCGTGGTGCGATTGACTGTATTATCTTTGCCCACAGTAAATATGTCAACCACGATCGGGCCACCGTGGCAGCATACCACGCTGCCGACCTCTCCCTGACTGTCCGGGATCTGCACCCAGTTGGATTCTCGCAAGACGGGTCCTTTTCGGAGAATTTTCCACCAATCCAGAGGGATCCGTTCGATCAGGTTGTCAAAGGCGGAGTCCAGCCTACAGCTATGGCGCAATTTCTGTCGGAGCAGATCCCGGTCAATCCAATCTCTTGTGTCTGTGTCCCAAATATCCCGTATTCTGAGTATGCATCTTTTCACCCACACGCGCCAGGGGGAGGCCATACAATGGAGGGCCTGTCCCCTGGTATCAACGATGCTCCTGTTATCGAAAAGGGGCTGTCGTAAGACCTCCTCCCATCGGTCTGGCCGGATTTTGTCAGGCAGGGGGAGATTCCTCCATGTCCTCAGAAGGGATGGCCAGAAGGGGTCGTTCCATAAGTCCTCCGTTGCCTGTTCCTTTGGAGAAGTGGGGTCCCGTTGCCTGGACCGCCCCCTCGATATCGGCCAGCATCTATTTTCAAGCCATGTGAGGGGCTTGACCCCCAGTGCTGTCTCAGGAGCCAGTCGTGTGATCTGTTCCAGCGCCAACTCTTTCCAAGGGGTGCCCGGGGAAAATAAGAGTCGCATGAGCCATTGGAGAGCCAGGGCCTTAGATTGCGTGGTCGGGTCAATTATGCCCAGGCCCCCTTTGGCTTTAGGGAGAGTTATGGATTTCCATGCAACCCTACTGATTACATTATGTTTTTCATGATCCCCTCTCCACAGAAAGGCTGCGATCTGACGTTGCAAGGAGCGGAGGGCAGGTTTGTCCATGGCCCAAATGGCCGATCTATACCATAGGGAGGCAAGCACTACGTTATTGATCACCAGGGAGCGTCCTATTAGTGACGTGTGCTTGTCCTTCCAGTGTTGCAATTTCTGCAGTGGTGCCTTGAGCAATCCTTCATCGTTTTTCAGAGGTCTGCCATTCGTTGTTAGTGTTACCCCCAAAACCCGGATGGGAGCCTCCCTTGGTACCCATTTAACCCGCGGTTGTTCCGGGGGTCTGACCCCTTGGCGGTGGATCCACCACCCCAGGGTTTTATTCCCCCAGTTAATTCTCATGTCTGAGAGAACGCAAAATTTTTCCATCATTCGTTGCACCTCTATCATTGCGGTGTGCGATGCATCCACCATCAGGGTCAGGTCGTCGGCAAACAAGGAGCATACAGGGATTGCGTCATTTGGAATAGAGGTGACGTGGATCCTTTTGATGTCCTTGTGGGTGTGCAAGTTCGCAGCTAGGGCTTCCATGACAATCACAAACAAGTAGGGCGCGATGGGATCGCCTTGCCGGACAGACCTCTAAAGGGCGATGGGGGGCGCAAGGTTCCCATTGACCATTACCCGAGTGGTGGCGTTGTTGTGGAGAATTGTCACCCATCGCCTGAAGTGAGGTCCAAAGTTTAGTTTCTCTAGGCATTTGTCCAGGAAGGTCCAATCGACATGGTCGTAAGCTTTCTCAAAGTCAATGAAGATAATCGCTGCGTTGTTTCTAGATTGTCTTGCCAATTTGATCATCTCATTGACCAAGAGAATATTGTCCTGAATGTTCCTGCCCTTTATAAAACCGGTCTGATCCGGATGGATAATATCACACATTACCTTCTCCAGGCGATTGGCCAGTGCCTTCGCCACCATTTTGTAGACCACAGTAAGGAGGGTAATGGGTCTGTAGTTTCAAATGTTGGTGCTTTCTCCTTTTTTATAGAGCAGGGTCAGCACCCCCTGGCCTACAAATTCACCCATTTGCCCTGTTTCCCATAGTGTTCGGTAGTAGTCCATCAGGTCCTAGGAGATGGTGCCCCACATCGCTTCCCGAAACTCTTTCGATAGGCCGTCGATGCCCGGGGTCTTGTCCTCCTCCATGAGCAGTAGTGTTGTCCACACTTCTTCCTTTGTTAAGGGTGCTTCCAAGACGTTTCATTGTTGGTCAGTGAGGGTACGAGTGAGAGGGCGCATGAACTCTTCAATCTCTGCCTGTCTCGGCGTCAGCGGCGTCCCCGCACACTCAGAGGTGAAGAGGTTTTGATAGAAGTCACGTGCGATCTTTGTACATTCCGCCGTTGAGGTGTACAGCGGGCCTTGGCGTTGATTAGGGTCCTCCAAGGCCTCTATCGTTGTTTGAGCCAATTTTGTTCTGGCCATTGGAAAAAAACTTGCGTCCATCGTGCCTTCCAGTTTGTGTCGGCACAGTTTCCCTCGAATCCTAGTACCCTGCCATCGGTACTCCATGTGTCCCAAGATCCGGGACTCTAGTGACTGGATGTCTTTGACCAATTCTGCCGATTGTACATCATCCTGCCTGTTGGCCTCTTCTTGTTGGAGGAGTTGTTGCAATTGGTACTGCAGATTTATTTCTTCCGCATGGCGTTGCGCCGCCCGAAGTTTCGAGAACTCGTTGCACTTGCGGCCTAAGAAGGATAGACCGTTATTGAACCATACTATGTCATCGTGAATCAGGTCTTTCTGTTTCTGCCAAACGACCCAGGTTTCTTTCAAGTAAATTTTGAAGCAATCCAAGGTAAGTAGTGAGGTATTGAGTTTGTAAAAACCCCGTCCCTGGTCAGGTTTCTTCCGGAAGGACAGAATAACCAGACACATTGCATGGTCCAGGCCCGGGTAGGGGCTGCGTGGGAAGATCTCAGCCACTTGTAGGGCGCCTTGTATTTCTACGGAAATCAGGATCAGGTCTATTCGAGATTTAGTTATATGTTCCGACTAGCACTTTCTGTAGCAGGTGAACTTACGCTGCTGCGGGTAGCGCAGCCTGAAAGAGTCAATGAGATTAAGCGATTGGGACAATTCTGTGATGATCCTTTCATCACTTTCCACGTACGTCGGGCATGGTACCAGGATTCTCCATCTGTCCAGCCAGCGATCCGGAGCGGCATTAAAGTCCCCGGCCAGAATGACCGGGATACCATCTGGTAGTTTAGATTTTAAATTCTCAAAGAAGGTCTGATGCTCCCTTGGCTCATTCGGGGCGTACATGCTGAGGATGCAAACCACCTCAATCTCCAACATTGCAAGCAGGTAGGCCCACCTTCCTTCTTCCTGATCTGTTGCCCAGTTTAACGGCTCTACCCTCGAATTTGGGGGAAGCCATATGGTCACCCCCCCACTGCCCGGTTTCGGGGCATGAGCGCTGAAAGCTTGATGCGGCCAGATCTCTTTGTGGGCACAGGCGTGCTCTGGTGTGTCTAGGAGGTGGGTCTCCTGTAGGCACACCACATCAGGCCAAGTTTTCCCTTCCACTCCTTTGAGCTGTTCTATTATCGCCTGCCGCTTGGGGAACTTTGTCGAGGCCAACCCATTTACATTGAGGGATCGCAAATCAAGGTCCGCTGCTCGCTTGAACAGTTTCCACTGTTTATCTCTGTTATAGAGTGCCTCAATTTCATTAATCCCGTTCATTGGAAATTCTTATTTCTGCGGGGTGGCCCGGTCGGCTCATAGCGGGAGCCATGCCTCGGTGCTCAACAGCCCATCCTGCTGCAAGATTTTGTTTAAAATCAGTTTTGCCAGGAGCGTAGTGACTTCCTTCTCAGTCCAGAGGTCACTGGCCTTAATTTTGAGCAGTTGGATCTCTGTAAGTGCCTCTTGGGTAAACCAGTTGAGGTCAACATTGCAGCCCTGCTTGTATTGAATATAGATGTCTTTTTCCGTGAGTTTCTGAGGGCCGTACGAGATAACCAATGAGGAGGAGGCCCCCGGTGGGAGCTGTTCCCTGATCAATTGCGTGATATCCGACTTTAGAAGGGTGGGGCCGCCTCCCCAGGAGGAGAGGGAAAGGAGGAAGGTGGAGCGCCCCTTGAGGGTAACTTCTCCATGTGTCGCCCCCGGCGGCGTAGAAAGACCGATTTCCCAGGAACTACCATTGGTCCTCACTGGTAACAGGGCCAGGCCTTTCCCCAGCGGCCCTTGCTGGATGTCCCCAATTGCTAATAGAAGACGCAGTCTTTGTCGTCTACTAATCAAATCCGCGTCCGGAGGCTTCGGAGGGGGGGGTGACTGCAGATTTGGTTGTTTCTGTCGTTCCTGCCCTGCGGCTGGCTGTGATTCCCATGCGGGTAGTGCCAGGCATAGTCCTTCTTGGTCTGCAGACGCCCTTCGATTTACCGTTTCGTTTGCCGTTTCCTTATTCTTTTCCTCCTTCTCCCTTTCGTCTTCCGCCCCTTGTCTTTCCACATCGATTGTTTTTTTATTGTTTTTTGTGCCCGTCTCTGCGACCCCCCTCGTCCCCTCCATGTCACTGTCTTCCTTTGTTGGAGGGCACGACTTAGCGCGGACTTTCTTTGACGTCGACGCTTTGGCACACGCGTTGACGGATGACCGTTTCGCATACACGGGCCGCAGGAGCGGCCAGAGGCGGCCCCCTGGAGGGGAATATTCACCGCCACCGTTTGTGTTGCAGAGTCCTCAATGGTCAAGTTCGTCGCTCAGCGGCGTGAGAGGGAGGGAGTCCGGAGCGAGTGAGGTGGGGTCCGGCAGACGCAGCGACGGCGGCATAGATATTGCAGGATCGATGCCTCCACCACCTGCACGGACTCCGGAGGCCAGGGTCGATGCCGGGGACCAGACGGCGGCACCCGGAGTTGCGCACAGCGGCAGTTCCCCGCCGACAGTCCGAGATGGTGTGGGTGGCGGATGGTTATCTGTTCGTCGGGTCGGGGACCGATTGCGGGCGGATTACGACGTCGGGAGGGGCGTCTTCACCGGACGTACGCCAGTTGAGACGCAGGCCGTGGAGGGTGGGTCCGGACCTCCGAGCCTGCATATGGCAGGCCGCATGCTCGGTTTGTCACGAGTGGAGACGAGGAGATCATTGGTCCTCGAGGCCGCAGGGACATCCACGGACATGCTGCGGGGAGAGCAGTTCACATCGGGCGACGAGGGGTTGTTGATGCGTCCCGGGACGAGACGACAGCATGGCCTCTCGGAGGTTGAGGCTCGACTCGCGGCAGGGGTCGCCGGTGCCCAGGCAATATTGGACGCGATTCAGAGGGAGAGAGAGATGGGGATTGTTGCACGGGCGGCGGAGGACGAGGACGCAGACACAGAGTCCGAGCCGATTGAGATTGCGGCCCGCAGACACAGGGCACAGGTGGCCGCAGCAGCCGCTGCAGCACAGGCGACATACCTCAGCGGAGCACGGGGCACAGGTGCGGGAGGGAGAGGAGGGCGCCGGGGAGGACCGCATGGCCGCCCGTCCTCCGGGAGAGGCCGCGCGCGCTCTGGAGGGAGATGACGACGTCTGTGGTTTTTATTTATTTTTTTCATTAGTTTTTTTTATTGTTTGCATGGTTGTACAACCTGGACGCTCTGTCGGCAGGGTTGTTGCATATTTATGTCGATGTTGTTCCATGGAGACGGCGACAGTATGTGGACATTAGTTTTTTTTTTTTTTTTTTGCTACTCGGTTGTACAGTAGAGACGACGGGTCCAGTTTTTGGCKTCAGCCTTGTACATACGCATTTCCACTGAAATGCTTTGTCAGTAGGGTCCAGTTTTTTTTTTGCTACTCGGTTGTACAGTAGAGACGACGGCCCGTCGATGGGTCCAGTTTTTGGCTTCAGCCTTGTGCATACGCATTTCCATTGAAATGCTTTGTCATATATTTGCTCTTGTTCGTGTTCCTCTCCCAACCTCGGTTTTGCATCTGAGTCGCTGTTGTGTGGTGAGTGGTTTCTGGTTTGTTATTGTGATTGTTGCAAATTATGTGCTTCTCTGATGCCACATGGATGTCTCCATAATGAATGTGCTGTTAATTTCGGATGCTCAATAGGGACGATGTGGTAATGAATGTGTTCTTACACAAACTTCCACCAGTCTGATGAGTGAACACACACTATGAGTCTATGACACACTTGCCTGTTGACATTGTTTGAAACTTATAGTTGGCCGCACTGTGAATGATTGTGAATGTGTTGTGACTTTGGTATGCCAACCAAGGTCTGACCTGTGATTGCCATGAATGTGTTGTTTCAAAATATGTCACGAACTGTCATCACCCTCACGAATGAAATCGACGCCTGCCTGAGGCCCAGATCTGCCTGGGGACATGGGGTCTGCCACATGCAGCCCCGTCCAGCTTCGACCCGACCTGGCCGCATAGGCCGCCCCAACCAGGCCCTCATCCAACCCCCATTGGGCCGCCCCCACAGGGGTCAATTTTTTTTATTTTATTTTTTTTTCTACTGTTCCAGACCCTCTTCCCTGCGACCCCGCATCGACGAACCCGCACGCGGGGGACGCACGAATTTTCGCGACCCACCCTTCCAGGGCCATGTGCAGGACCCCCCCGTGTTTTTTTTTTTTTACGCTCTGTCCATGTGAGGGGGTGCCCCCCCCCACCTCCACCCCAAACCCGCTCCCTGCTTCAGAAACCGCCCCCCGGATCGGCCGAGGCCGAGGCCGAAAAAACTCGGCCGCGACCGGGGGGGTCCCGGCCTAGGCCGTCGACCGCGGCCTGGGCCGAACCCGGCCGCGGCCAGCGTGCAACATAGGGGGCAGGGCCTGGTTCAATTAGAGCAGGACCTGCAAACACAACTTCACCTCCACAGTGTACTACTGTGTTATGAACATGATTATCCGTTGAAATTTTCTCAATGCTCACTCACAGGAACTCCCGTACATGCCCATACATGCACAGCAGGAAGGGGAGAGGTACTGGAGTGTCCCACCACCCAACAGAAAGAACGCAGGGGAAGACTCAGAGGAGCGAAGTGACAGAATACACAACCCAGTGAATTCTCTCCACACAAATCCCAACAATCATTCATAGAAGACAACCGAGTGATCACAACCAGAAATCAATGAAGAGATGGCAACTCGAACACAGTATTACAACTGTTTATTAAACTCAGAGCATCGTTTTCACTGAATAACCGCACAACCCTGTTGCGCTACCCTCAGAGGGGTAGCGCCTCAACCCCACACGCACTGAACAACTAAAAATAGCACCAGAACCCCAGGTAACACCCAGTGCCACCCTGGCATCCAACTCAGTGGCCTCCACCAAGATGAAACAGGCTCCCAGAGCCAATCGCCACTCAGATGATGAGGAAGAAGATCAACACCAACGGTCTCTGATGAAGATGAAGTCCAGACGATGATAATCTCTGAGAAGATGCAACTATGGCTGCATCGCCACAGGGACCCTACTCCTGAGGAGGGTTAGTAGTGCACCAGTGCTCCAACGCATCAGACCTATGATAGCCAAGACTGCTTTGACTCCCAGAGTGTCTGAACATACAACGTTGACCCCAGTCTAGTCAGCGCTCGGAAGGTATGGCTATGTCCGCCGTCTCCCACGCATGTATCACTGATGCCGCGTGCGCAGCAATTTCCACCATGAAGTGTTAACTACCAAAAACCCTGGACCAATTCTCTCAACCTATCTATACTCTACCCTAGCCTAGACTCGACCTATACCGGATTGACTGACCGACTGGTACCGTTTCTGTTTCGGCCCGTAGGGCCTCTCCCTACCCGACTATAGGCTATATGCCCGCCTATCAGCGTAGGCCCATTGGGCCTGTCTGTCCTAGGGGTAACCCGGGTCTGCTATTCGCAGTTAGGGTAGCTGTAGGAAATTCGAGTTAGTACTGGGCCCATATTTCCTATATTTACAAATATGTCCTTCACGAATTATCCTCACAGGTAGGTATCTCGATTAGCCCTCAGCCAAACAAATTACGAATTTGTCCTTATCTATGGTACAACCTCGTCAGAGAGAGGCTACATGCAACCTGGAATCAGCAAGTCATTGCAGACCTACCCTCCCCCGGAGCGAGGACCTTCGAGCTAGGGGCGTGGGCGTGCAGAGCGTCGAGGGATAGTCCCTTTCTGCGCAGCCTCATATTTTAGGACAATAGACTTTGCTGTTTTCAAAAGTTCCTTGCGAGTGAACCAGCGATCCTCAGTATGGGGCTGGTAAAAAAACTTCACAAGGTACTCCTTATCCGGGCCTGTATCATGCTCATCCTCAATTGATTCCACCTCGTACCCCTTCCAAGGGATAGGGGGACCAAACTGAGGAGGCCTGTTTGGAAATGCATCAGCTGGGGTAAACGACAACAACTTGGATGCATGAAAGACAGGGTAGGTTTGTAGATGTTGTGGGGTGTCCATGTGGTAAGATGGCCCGAAAGGGTCAGCTCCCATTGTATCCAAAACCTACCATGGACCCATATAACACGGCAACAGCTTGGGCGAAATGTCCTCCTCTCGTGATAACTCATACCCAGACCTAGTCACCTGCGCAAATGAGGGATGGTCGGCGATGCTTGTTAGCCTGTTGAATCATAGCCTTTTGGCCTTTGAGCAGGTTAACTCTGACTCGTTCGATATCCCTCTCGTACTGTCTGGTGAATGTTGCAGTCCCAGGCGTTAGTCTGGGGGTAGCCTTATCGATGATATTATCGAGAGGCTGTCGTGGTTTACGTCCCCAGTGCAACCGATAAGGGGTGAACCTTGTGGATGAGTGTACAGACATATTGTACATTAGTTGTGTCCGTCCTAAGTGGAGATCCCAGTCCTGTTGATTAGGGCTGATCATATGACGTAGCAACTGAAGGAGAATCTGTTTCATCACTTCAGCCTGCCCATTGGCTCCAGGATGACGACCAAATGTCATATCCTCTAGAATGAAGGTAGTCCTTACAATAGGACTGCCATTCATTGCTGCAAAAAAACGGATCTCTGTCGCCGACAATAGAGGTGGGTGGCCAATGGTGTGTAACCCACCGGTCAACAAAGGCCGCCTGGACGGCCGGGACTCTGGCTTCCTCTGGCAGTGGAATGAACTCTGCATATTTAGAAAACTTGTCCATACATACCATGACCTGACGCATACCGCGAGGAGTAGTCCTCCCCAGGTCAGTGAAATTAATAGACACTGACTGTGCAGGTGCATCAGGGATGGGAAGCGGTTGCAGTAGGCCAAGGGGAGGTCGACGTACAACCTTGTTCTTTTGGCATAACTCACATGTTTCGATATAGTGCAGCAGATCAATCCTCATCTCTGGCCAGAAGAACCGCTGCGACAGGGCTGCCAACGATTTTAAGGCCCCAAAGTGGCCGCGAGCATCATGACACCCAAACATCATGAGTGCTCTCAGCAGGTGGTCCTGGGGAATGCACAGACGCTCCTCTCCTCTGCTGTAGGTGTACAACAGACCTGAAACCAGTAAATATCCTGGTTTAGATGCAGAGTCGGTCTGCAGATTCCTGACTATAGAGCTGAAAATCGGGTCCTTTGGCAACAACTGGGCAATGGTCTGACGGGTACTCTCCCCAAAAGTATGAGTAGAGGAGATCAGATAGAGAGCGTCAGGCCTACGAGAAAGGACGTCTGCTACACAATTGTAACAACCTTTTTTTTTTTTTCAGTTCAAAGTCAAAGAGATCAATGAACTGAATATAGGGAGCAAGCTTGTCGTTCAGTTCCCGTTGGGTCTTCATCCACTGTAGGGTGGAGTGATCTGCGTAGATTTTGAAATGCCTACCCATGAGGAAATGCTTTCAATGCTTGAGCTCTGACGCCAAAGCATACAAATGTTTCTCGTATGAAAAATCATGCAACTTCTTCACTTTGATCTTCTTACTCATATACTCAACAGGCTGAAGACCATGCCCACTGTTCTGCTGAAGTACTGCCCCAACTCCATATTGACTAGCATCCGTAGTTAGTACGAAGGGCAGGGTAGGGTCAGATAACTTCAGAACAGGTGCACGCATCAAGGCCTTCTTGAGGCATGTAAAAGCCTGCTGACAGTCTGATGTCCAAAGAAAGTGAGTGTCTTTCTTTGTGAGGTCCGTCAGGGGTGCAGCAATAGCAGAAAAGTTCATGACGAACTTCCTGTAGCAGGAGGCAAGACCCAGGAATGATCGGACATCACGCACTGTGGTAGGCTGTGGCCAGTCCTGGATCGTAGCAACCTTAGTTGCTTCAGGAGCTAGCCCTTCCCCAGAGATTACATGTCTCAGAGAAGTCACTGAAGTCACTCCAAAGGAGGGTTTTTCCCTGTTGATCTTATACTGGGCGTCATGTAGTGCCTGGAGAACTAGAGCCAGATGTTGCGCATGCTCCTCGACAGATTGACTAAATACCAGGATGTCATCCAGGTACACATTTACAAATCTATCCAGGTAAGGACTGAGTATGCGATGCATCTCTATCTGGAATGTGCCAGGGGTATTGCAAAGGACGAAAGGCATGACCAGATACTCATAAGTACCGTATCTGGTCTTGAAGGCAGTCTTGTGGACATCGCCTTCAACCATCTCAATCTCGTGGTAGACAGATTTGAAATCGATCTTGATGAAAATTGTGCAACCCTGCACCATGTCCAACAGATCATCAATCCTAGGAAGGGGCTCTGTTGACTTCCTAGTGATTTTATTGAGACCCCGATAGTCTATGCACATTCTGAATTCTCAATTATTCTTTGGAACAAATAGAACCGGAACCCCAAATTCAGAAGTGCTTAGTCTGATCCAGCCCTTGCTGGTCAGGGTCTCAAACTGTCTCCTGAGCTCATTGAGTTCAACAGGTGACATCCGGTAGATACGACCCTTAGGAGGGACCGCACCTGGCAGGAACTCAATCCTGTGCTGGGTCTGCTGGTGAACAAGTCCAGTCGGCTCCTACATCAGGTTTGGGAACCAGTCTAAAACCTGTTGAATCGGTGAAGGACAATGAGCAACATCCACACCAGTCTGTTTCACCTTCTTCTGCTTGTCAAAGATAACTGGTAGGTTCTTGACAACAGTAGTAATCCGGACTGTGGAAGAGTCCCTAATACAGACTTCAAGTGGTTGCTGCAACTTCACCAATCTCTCATCCAAGTGCAGCTTGCTAACAGCATTGGGAGAGATGAAGTTTCACGTGGCCCCACAGTCTAGAAGGCCTTTGATCTTGGCTTCCAGGATGGAAGGTCGCAGCAAGATGAGGTCTGATTTATGCTTGTTCTTTTCCTGCAAAGACAGGAAAATATCAAAAAAAGTATGACAGTCATCTTCCTGCCACGTCTCATCCATGTTAGGGTCCATGTAAGTAAAGGATCCTGACGCAGCAACTCCAACAGAGTCAGTGAGGGTAGATGCAGATTCAGACTCATCAGAATCTGAATCAGCACAAATGGAGGGAGCTGCTAAATCCACTTCCCTCTGCTGGTCCAGTTTTTTGAACTAGAACCAGGTTTGCAAGGCATATGGGGACAGTCTTTCAGAAAGTGGTCCCCCTCGCAGCGAAAACAAACCTCACGGTCCTTCCTCCTGTGCCATTGCCCCTCCTGGATCCTGAACACTCTCCAAGGAAGGGTGGAAGGATCCATGGGGTTGACTGACCAATGGACGTCTCGTGGCAAGTTAGGTCTCTGGGCCTGAGGGGAAGTGACACGTCCCTTCCCTTTCCCCTTTTGGTTGGCTGAGCTCTTGCTGCTGCTGTTCCCCATCTTCCCTTTGAACATGGCAGCAAGGTTCTCAGCCAGGGCAAGAACGACTGACTCAACTGCTGATACTGATGCAGTCTCAGATGGAGGACTGCCACATTGAGATGCATTAGAATCAGATCCTGCATCAGCAGCCAACGAAGTGCCCTTCTTCCTACGTTGTCCTCTGGAAGAGGGTTTCCTCCTTCCATCAGAAGGTTCCTGAACCTTGAGCCGAGACTCTAGGTCAAGTGCCGCTTTGCCAAGGGACCTCCAATCCTTGTAGCCCTCAGAGTACAAAGCAATGGAGTAGTCTGGAGGCGCTGCGTGTAGGAAGTGAGTGAGCTGGTCAGACTCACTCATCTCCAGACCGGGTGTAGCAGTCAATCTCTCAAACAGACCGTAGAGCTTGGACAGGGAACCTTCAAACATGCGTGAACCCAACAACAATATCTTATCTACTGCTTTTCGGGCCTGTTCCCTGTCTGCAAACCAGTCTCGCAGGGCCTGCATCAACCCCTCCACCTTCAGCTGCTGTGCCCATTTGTCCATGGGCAGATTCTGTTTCGCTGCAGAGGATGTGCACCATTTCATCGCAGTCCTCTCCAGACGCCCCATAATCGTTCCTACTTTTGTCACCTTTGGACAAATGAAGCTGCCCAGGTACGCCTGCATTGCAATAACCCAATCTAAAACGTCCACCTTGGGGTCTTCCCAAGAGTACATAGGAGGTGGCGTCAGTTTGGGCTGCCGCTGATCGGATGTACCAGAGGGGACAGAGGTAGTGGACACATGGGAACCAGTAGGTGAAGTCGGACGACTGTGCGATGGTGAACCAAATTTTGGGATAGGTTGAAGAGGTTGGGGAGAAGGCACATGGAGTTGCAGATGCTGCAGAATTTTGTTAACACTCGCTGCCAGGGAATCAAGGCTTGCTGTCAACTTATCGACCTTGTGGTCGATGGCAAAGCATTCATTTTTTACAACGAGAATCCGTTGGTCCCAGTTAGAAAAGTAAAACCTATTGAGAGTGTCTGTTAACAACACTAACTCAGAAGTATTATTACTATACTGACTGAAAGTACCACTGACAACAACTTTCTCCACCTCTTTACGTAATTGTCTCCTCCTCTCCTCCTTCCTGCTAGCTTCCTCAGCTTCCTTCATCTCCTTTTTCAACCGTTGGACATGGGCGTCTGCCTTTCTGCGGTTTTCCTCCACTTCAAGCAGGGCCTGTTCCAAGGGTCAGAAAGGAAGTGTAGGAGGGTGAGCAGAAGGTTCCCCTTCCTTAACGCTCGTCTCAACGTCAGCCATAGTTACACATCCACACAGTCAAATAAATAAGACACGCCGAAACAAGGTCAGCAGAAATTAAGATTACAACACACACTCAATGATGTAATCACTGCCACCTGATGAAAAGAGATGTGGTGTGATAGGCAGAAGAGCATTCGGCCTCTGTAGGCTTCTAAGAGCTATTCTGGGTCAATTTAGGGCAATCCCAGATAAAATCAACTTTGCGATTTTTCATTCAGAGCCCATAACCCTCATCTGAGTGCAATAACCCTAGAATCGCTATCAAAAATCAGACAGGATCCAACCTAGGACTGTAAGTTTGAGGGTTAGAATAGCGCAGAGAGTAAGTAGCAATTAACACAACTTAGTAGTCAACCAAGATGCAGCGAATTATTGATGAAGGTATTTTTAGACTCCTACTACTGGCACTGACACTATAGGACCCTGTATGCCTCACTATGGTTGAGGTGAAATACAAATATCACTGTATCTGACTCAAAACATCAATCCCAGTAGAGCGCTTTCAGACACTGACTCAATACTGAATTGCGATTTCAGGGTGACTGACAGACTGAAATTCTGACGGACAGAGCCTAAGATATAACAAACCCTAGCTGCCCCAAGCACTGACTATGGCAGCGCAATACTCAGAATTCCATTATCACGGACAAATAGGTCCTGATCCATCTCAAAGCCCTAGGTGGGGGTGACCCTGGGACGAACGGCTCACGCCCTGAGCATGAGCGTGGACGGGCCGAGCCAACTGGGACCCGCAGTAGGGTCGACCAAGGCTCGAAAGTCTACCGGGGTTTGACCCTACACCGGACAACGACTTTTTGGCCACGTGGAAGGAAGAAAAAAAAAAAGTTGGGGGGGCTTGCGCACTGCCAGGGGACCCCTCAATTTTTTGGGGGGGCCATTCCGAGCAAAAATAAAAAAAAAAATAGAAACAGGCTTTGGGGTGTGTGGGGGGATGGGGTTGGGTGGTTGATTGATTGATTGATTGATTGAAAAAAAAGCGGGAAGGCCGACGGAGTGATTGGGTGGCTAATCACTTCGCCCCCCTCCCACTCCTCCTCCTCCTCCACCATGGTCGGGGCCTCCTCCTACTCCTCATTCTCCTCCCCATCCTTGTCATCTCTCCTTCTCCACGTCCTCCCCCGCTGCCACTGTCGTTGCCGCTGCCTCTTCCTCCACCTTCGTGGGGGCCTCCTCCTCCTCCTCCTCCTCCTTCGTCGTCGTCCTCCTCTTCATCTTTCTCCTTGTCCTTCGCCATCACCACGACCTCCTCCTCCCCCCCTTCTTCTTCTTCCTCCTCGTCCCGCCAATCCCTGTCCCATCATCATCTCCTCCTCCACCATCATCGGGGCCACCTCCTGCCCCGCTACCAATGCCGCCGACGCCGCCTCTTCCTCCTTCACCCTCGCCGGGGCCTCCTCCTCCTCCTCCTCCTTCGTCGTCATCCTCCTCTTCGTCCTCCTCTTCGTCTTTCTCCTCTTCCTTCTCCATCACCACGGCCTCCTCCTCCCCCACTTCTTCTTCTTCCTCCTCGTACCACCAATCATTGTCCCTCTACTCGCCGTTTTCCTCCCCATCCTCACCGAATCGATAACGTCTCCTCTTCCCCCACTTTTTTTTTTTTTTTTTTTTTTGGTCCGATCAATCAATCAATCAATCAATCAATCACTCGATCGAAGATCCCATCGAATCGATCGATTCGGTAGGATCTTGACATATCAAAACCCTATCGAATCAATCGATTCGATGTGATCTTCGATCGATTGATTGAATGATTGATTGATTTGTTGGTTGAATGATTGATTGATTGGTTGTTTGAATGATTGATTGATTAAAAAAAGGGCGGGGAAGGCCGACAGAGTGATCGCGTGACCAATCACTTCGGCCCCCTCCTACTCCTCCTCCTCCTCCAACATCGTCGGGGCCTCTTCCTACTACTCATTCTCCTCCTCATGCTCGTCATCTCTCCTCCTCCACCTCCTCCCTCGCTGCCACCGTCGCCTCTTCGTCCTTCGCCGCCATCGGGGCGGCCTCCTACTCCTCGTCCTCCTCCTTGTCTTCTTCTCCTAATTCCTCCTCCTCCTCCACCTCTTCTTCTTCTTCTTCCTCCTCCATCGCCATGCCCTCCTCCTCTTCCCCCTCCTCCTCTTCCCCCTCCTTCATCGCCATGCCCTCCTCCTCCTCCCCCTCCTCCTCCCCCTCCATTGTCGGACCCTCATCCTCTTTTTCCTTCTCCTCTTCTTCCTCCTCTTCTTCCTCCTCTTTCCACTCCTCGTCCTCGTCGTCGTCCTCCTCTTCCTCCTTTTCCTTCTCCTCCCCGTCCTCCATCATCGGCGCCTTATCCTCCTTCCCCTCCTCCTTCATCATCGTCCTCCTCTTTGTCTTCCTCCTCGTCCTTCTCTATTGTCATGGTCTCCTCCTTCCCAGATTCTTCTTCTTCCTACTCGTTCCGCCAATCCTTGTCTCGATACTCGTCTTTTGTTTTTGTTAACAGCCTCCTCCTCCTCCTCCTCCTTCTTCTTCGGCGTCCTCCTCTTTGTCTTCCTCCTCGTCCTTCTCCATTGCCATGGCCTCCTCCTCCCCAGATTCTTCTTCTTCCTCCTCGTCTCGCCAATCCTTATCCCGGTACTCGTCTTTTGTTTTTGTTAACGGACTCCTCCTTCCCCGTTTCTTGTTTTTGTGTTTTTTTTTGTCCGATCAATCAATCAATCAATCAATCAATCAATCAATCAATCAATCAATCAATCAATCAACCAATCGAGCAATCAATCAATCAATCAATCAATCAATCGATCAATCAATCAATCAATCGATCGATCGATCGATCCATCGATCGATCAATCCATCGATCGATCAATCCATCGATCAATCGAAAATCCCATCTAATCTTTTGTTTTTGTTAACGGACTCCTCCTCGTCTTTTGTTTTTGTTAACGGACTCCTTCTTCCCCGTCTTTTGTTTTTGTTAACGACCTCCTTCTCCTCCTCCTTCTTCTTCGTCGTCCTCCTCTTTGTCTTCGTCCTCGTCCTTCTCCATCGCTATGGCCTCCTCCTCCCCAGATTCTTCTTCTTCCTCCTCGTCCCGACAATCCTTATCCCGGTACTCGTCTTTTGTTTTTGTTAACGGACTCCTCCTTCTCCATTTTTTTTGTTTTTTGTTTTTTGTTTTGTCCGATCAATCAATCAATCAATTAATCAATCAATCAATCAGTCAATCAATCAATCAATCAATCAATCAATCAATCGATCGAATATCCCATCGAAACAATCGATTCGATGGGATCTTCGATCAATCGATTGATCGATTGATCGATTGATCGGTTGATCAATTGATTGATTGATTGATTAAAAAAAAGAGCGAAAAAATAAAATAAAAAAGACGGGGGAGGAGGAGGTCACGACGACGGAGGAGGAGGAGGAAGAGGAGGATGCGGAGGAGGAGGAAGAGGAGGTAGAGGAGGAGGACGCCACACCAATGGAGGAGGAGGAAGGAGAGAACTTAGAGGATAAGGACGAAGAAGAGAAGGATGAGGAAGAGGACGAGGAGGAAGAAGTAGAAGAGGAGGAGGAGGAGGAGGAGGAGTAGGAAGAGGATGAGGAGGAAGATGAGGAGGAGGAGGATGAGGAGTAGGAAGAGGATGATGATGAGGAGGAGTAGGAAAAGGATGAGGAGGAAGATAAGGAGGAGGAGGAGAGGAGGAAAACGAAAAGGAGTAGGACGAGGAGAGGAGAAGCGAAAGGAGGAAAATAGGAGAAGCGGAAGGAGGAGGAGGAAGAGGAGGGGGATAAGGAGGAGAAGGAGGTGGACGACGGGAAGGTGGCTCACTTGATTTGGGGGGACGATGGCGCGTGGGGTTGCGCTCGTCGACCTCGGAGTTCGGCAATGGCAACACCGAACTCCGGCGACAGCGTGGACCGAGACGTGCGGGGGAGAACGCCACTGCCCCAGATTTCGAAACTGAAAACAGCCCAATCTGGATCGTCGATCTCGCAAATCTGACAACCCAGATTAGGCTTTTGTTTTTCACTTTTGGAGGCCCTACCGGCCTCCAACAATGCTTCCCGCCAGCGCCCCGGGTTTGCCTGTCCCCACAGTCCACCCCTGTGCCGCCGAAGTCCATGTCCTAGACCCCCCCCAATTTTTTTTTCTTCGATTGGACGTAGGGCCCCCGACAAACGACCGACCGGTTGTCCGATCAGACAGTCCTGGACGGTTAGGGGGTCCCGGACATCCGATCAGGGAACGTAGAAAAAAACAATGAATTTTGACAGTTTGTCTAACACATTGTCCGACAACGAGAATGTGTCAAAGTTTGTTAGGGCATGAGGTGTCTCTTACACTTCGCCCGACATCATGGATGTGTTAGAGTGTTATAATCGGGCTGATTCAGAAGAAAAAAAAAATTAAGTTTTGACACTTTTTCTGACACATCGTTTAACACCGAGAATGTGTCGGAGTTTATCAGGACATGAGGTGCGTTTGGCACATCGTTTAACATTATGAATGTGTCAGTGTTTGTGAGGGGGTGAGGCGTGTTTTATATAGTGTGAAGTTTAAGTAATTTAACCCGGTCGTATTTTAGGCTGGGTTCGTTGGAAAATGAAGAAACGTGTAAACGGGTAGCTTTGAAAATTAAAAATCGTAATGATTTTCGATACCAAGGATGCGTTAGAGATTGTTGGGTGGGATGCGTCAGATAGTGTTATGTTTGTTGCAATGAATGTAGTGCGTTATAGACTACTTCATGGGGAAATAAAGTACTTTGTAAATAAGACGACCATGAGATTAAAAATCATAATGATTATGGAACCAATGATGTGTCAGACATTGTCAGGAGTTGGGGCCGGACTCCGCCGGTGAGGAAAACTAGCCTCAGACTCAAGTCTATTGCATTGATTGAAGAAGACCACGGACGTGCTGGACCATCGCCTTTACTAGCGATATCTGATTATAGACAGACTTCAGGGGCTTTGCCAAACTATTGTTGGGGTCAATACAAAAGTTGTGATTCTGAGAGGACGCACCCTCACAGGGTTCGTTCACATCCTCCTTGAGAGTAGCAGTGTTCCTGCCCTCCCCCTATTTCATGCAAGACATTGATTGTTTTTGTGGAAGTGACACTTAGGTATAGAGACGGGTACTGAATTTTGGCTTGAGGGCCCTTACTGGCACCAACCTGAACGTTGACATGCTCGAGTGTTAAACAAGAACAGTAGTGCGAAGACAAAACTCGAAGAGGGATTTCTTTCGGCAATTGAATGCTACTAAGCTTCCTTGTCGCTGGTTGTCAACCATTGAGGGGAGATCAAATAGTTGTGAATAATGTTCACTTATAACTTTGCTTAAGATTCATCGAAGAAAGAAACTACGAGAGATCAACTCTCAACTGATCTCTGTTTTATCTTTTTGAAAGTTTCAAATGATGAGCTGGTACAGTACCTTTTGTGTCTGTGCAGTTGTAAAAACATTGAAAAAACACGTTCGTTGAACTTTAAAACCCTCCACGGAGTTCAACGCTTGCTCCCCACCATCTATCTGTGAAATTGAACATTCCCGACTTCTCTCACTTTCCGGCTCCGCCACTTTCCTTCAGTAAGCACGCAAGACGTCAACAAACACAACCCCGTTTTCAACAGTTCCTTCATTCAATTGTGCATTGCCCTGCTGTGAAGCCCTATTGCATTGATCTCCTTCAAAAATCCTTCTGATTTGAGGGTCTGGGAGTTACGCGAGGAGACTGTCCTCAGTTTAACCAGTTATCAGGTCGCTAGGATGAATAGCGATAAGGGGATGAGAGTTTTATCAGCATGAAACTTCTTCTGCAGTTTCCTGCAAGCATTTTCCCACGAAGCCCCTGACAGACCAATGACTGCTAATTCTCGTCTCATCCAGGGCCAATTACTATACAGACCATGACTACCTCATCAGAGAACTTGAATGATCATCTTAGATTAGGCCTGGTCTTAGACGTGCAGTTGTAGACCCCGTCTCAATTGGATTGCATAACGATTAGTTACATAACCTTCTCTTGGGGATAGGACTTGCGAGCTGAGTAGACCAAGGAAGACTCGGTGGAATACTCGTGTTCCCAATTTTTTAAGTAGCAAGGCACTCCCGTCGTAAGAAATTAGCGGGGAATTGTGAATTTTGCTTTGGTCAATGGTATGTATTCACGACGTATTTTCTTATTACGAGGCTGACTCAAAACATTTGTCACAGTGCATCCCCAACCGTAATGTTTTTCAGGATTAGGAGGGAGGAGTGGAATATGCCAGAAGTTACGTCTTCATTGTAGACCCTGTTTAAAACATCATACAACATATAAATAGTGTATCATCGTTTCCGTTGGGTTAGTCAATTTCTAACCAACACTTGGACCATCAATTATCACTAACACTAGTCCCCATCCAATAAAAACTTAATAATTAAATAAAGTATTTTCCTCAGTTCTTCCTCCCTCTACGTTCATCAATTAGTCTCTGTCCAACCTCAACTATTAACGAAAGCATTCCTGATCACTTGAGATAAAGAGGCAGGCTGATAACCATACATGCTAGCCGCGCGCCAGAGGTTTTGAGCGAACATGTGTAGGTTCATGTTGTCACGTCAGCGCCGGTGTCCATGCTCAACCACGTGCTTACAATAAAGTCCAGCACGACTACATGCTCATACAACCACCTCATATGCTCATACAATCGCCATGTCTGCAGGCTTGTACAATCATACAATCGCATGAATACCTATAGGCTCGTGCTCACAGGGTGATACGACTGCATGGATACTCACAGGTTCGCGTGATTCCAAATTCGTATGATCGTACGTTTTCTCATCCCTGGTAATATAAAACCTTCTAAATGAGTGGATTAAACTCCAACAATATTTATGACCCTTGCTCTCTCGTTTGAACTTGTGCTTGCAATTCAAAATGAAGAATTGTTATTTGAACCACACATACAGGTCTGAAAGGGTCAAGTAATCTGAACTTAATTTGTCTCGCTTTCTATCCCTGTGCCATTATTTGTCTCGCTCGATTACCATCAGCCACCAATCATACGACGTTCTCTGTGTAGTAGAGACACGTGAATTAGTGGCGACGACGACCAAACGTTGATGGGCAAGTTCAACCACCATCGATTTTCTTTGGAGAGTTGGAAAAACTACTCATACACGGTTTTTTTGAAGTTTTAAAATTGACAATACCTAGCGGCTGAGTAAAACTCCCCAAACCCACTCCAGCGAGGGACCACATTTAATCCACTCATAGCATTCTCACTTTCGAAGCCTTTTCACTAAGCATTAAGTGATTATGAAATTGGCACACGAGAGAGAACGAAAGGGAAACAGTAGCAATGCATTACATGGACCATAGAGAGCAAACAACACAGTCAGCATAGCGTAATTAATGGTCAACTCCCTTCTATAGAAGACATCTTCAACAAAAGTGA